GATTTTCTCGAAAAAATAATCTCTAAAACTCTACAATTATAGCTCTGATAATACTTTAAATAAAACTATATAATATTTGTATTAGGTTTAAAAAAATCCTGGAAAATTCCAGTCTTTAAAATACTAGTCTACTTTTCAAGTTAATTGTACAATTCAGAAACCTTTTTGAAGTCTGATATGAAAAAATCCTCCTGCAGCCTCTAAATATTTTCTTTAATAAACAATATTATAATCACTTCTAACCACTGTACAATTGGTTATTTAGTGCAGACTTGTTTACAAATGTTGTACACAAATTTGTTTGGATATTTCCAATTTTACACATCATCGAAAAAAAAAATTGAAACTAAATTTCATTTCCTTTCTGTTTTCAGTTTTTACTTTGGGTATGTCTTCGGTGTGCGTGTGTGGCATCAGGTGAGGTTGATCATGAAACTCAACCGCACATCACAGCCGATAAAGGTGATAATGATCATGCGAGTACTTGACCTTCATAGACTGGATGTAATTACACAGCGCAAGAAATAAATTTAAATTTCTTGTTAATTTGTTTTTGCATGACTTTGTTGTTAATTTGCATGTTTTTTTTTTGGCGTTGGAAATTATGCTCTCGATGTGAATTTTTTTTAGTTCAAAGAAGTGGGTTGGTCATCTGATGTAGATTTTTTCCTTCTCAATTGTATTTTTTAATGTTGTTTTTATTTTTTGTTTTGTTTATAATTTGGCTACAATTGTAAATTGCCGATTGTGTAAGAAGAAGAAGAAAAAGAACGACGAATAGGTGTGCTATTCTTAATGAGTTTATTCCCATAAAGAGGATTTAATTATGGGAGACGATTGATGGAAGTACTTTTTATTAGTTACGGAAATGGTCCCAGGTGGGGGGTTGGCGGAATGTTGAATAAAACAACATTTGACGTAAAAATACACATTTTTTAATTGGAAATGAAGAAAAATATTGTTTCATTATTTTTGTGAGAATTTTATAAGTTACAATTAATGCTAGAAAAGTGGACCGATATTATCAATTTTTGCACCTGACCTAGAACTGGCGTAAATATTAGGATTTGCAAAAATTGGATCTTTCTGTGCAGAAAAAATATTTTTTTTTTTAAAATTCTGATCTTTTGTGGGGAGGTACCAGAAGGAGTGGACCGATTTTTACACCAGACCTTGGATTAATAAAATTATTGGGACGTGTGAAATTTGAAGACAATCGGACTTTTACATCACATTTTATGAGAGTTGTAATTATTCGAAATTTTAACCATTTGTGTGGGAGGTACTTGATGGAGTGGACCGATATTGTCCATTTTCGCACCAGACCTAGCACTGACGCAAATATTAGGATTTTACAAAGTTGAAGCAAAATCGGATTAGCTTTTCTCTTTCTGTGCAAAAAATATTTTTTTTTGGAAATTTCGACCATTTTTGGGGGAGGTACCAGAAGGAGCGAGTTAATATAAATATTGGGATGTGTGAAATTTGAAGACAATTGGACTCTTACATCACATTTTATAAGAGTTGTAGTTATTTAAAATTTTGACCTTAATTGATTTTATCCATTTTCGTACCAGACCTAGCACCGACACAAATATTAAGATTTGTAACAATGGAGCAAAATCGGATTATCGTATCTCTTTCTGTGCAAAAATTATATTTTTTTGAAAATTTCGAGAGTTATTGTGTGTATCAACCAGCCAGACAGATGGACGGACATCGCTAGATCGACTCCAAATGTTCTGAAACGGATTTGGTCCAAAGAGACTTAGGGTATAAAACCGTTATTTCGACTAGACACGTTTTGACCGTATAAAATGCCATATGTCCGAGGGTTTAATAAAGGGGACTTTTTTTCAAAACACATTGTGTCAATAAATGGCTGTTATTATCGTAAACTCTCTTTTCTATTGTTTTATGCAATTACTTTCCTTGCATTTAATCGAATCCTGTTCAATTTTAGCATTTCATTTTCAGCAATTACTACATGTTGCAATTAAAAACAAATAACAGAGTTGAAGGCATTTCGCAATTTAAGTAAAGGTTAATGTATCCTTACAATCCTTACACTTCTTACAAATCTTATTTAATATTTACAAATGACTTAGGCGAACACTTAGGAGTGGTCACGACAAGCAGTAATTAGTCTATAAACTTATTAAGATGTCATTAAGCTAGCAAAGGTCAAATTGACTAAGGGTCTAATGACTAAAATTATGGAATATTCAAGGACATAACTAAGGGACATTATCAAAGCAAAATTTTGCATTGAAGGAGCCGTCGAAGACAATAGCGACAGATAAGTACCCATTTTGTGTCACCACGTACATTTTTTATACCAACAGTCATATGGCTAGAGAGGGTATATGTCATTTGATACGACTAAAACGTGCCTCATAAAAATAATAGTTTTAGACGCCAGTAGTGCAATTATCTAACCTTTTTTGAGTTACTGACAAAAGTCGGTAAAATTAAAACGCTTATAATTTCGGTAATCTATGAACTTTATCGGACCAAATCCGTATGGACCAAATCCGTTTCAGGACATTTGGAGTCAATCGAGCGATGTATCTCCCCCACAAAGGGTTAAAATTTTGAATAATTATAACGCTTATAAAATGTGATGTATGTGTCTGATTGTCTTTAAATTACCACATAATAATATTTCTATTAACCCAAGATCTAATGTGAAGATCAAATATATCGGTCCAATCCTTTTGATATCTCCCCCAAAAAGGGTCAAAATTTTTAATAAATTTTACTTTTATATAGTGTGATGTTAGATTCCAATTATCTTCAAATCTCACATCAAACCTTGGGTTAGTTGAAATAATAAGATGTGTGATATATGACCTCCTCCTCCTTCTGTTAACTCCCCCACAAAGGGTCAACATTTTTTAATTAAATATTCGTCGTAGCCACCATAAAGTACATATATTCATAATCAGCATAAAATTCTATGTCGATTTAACGATCTCCGTTTGTCTGTCCGTTCGTCTGGGTCTAGGATGGTTGGCACTGAAACTTAAGAATGAGATATATCGGTTCATGTTTTGGTGTAGTTCCTATATAACGGTACCTCCCGATATTCGGTATATTGATGATTTTCGCCACATTTTTTCATGGATTTGTCTAAAAATTGGTATTTGTTAGTCCCAATGGGTTCTGGCCCCGGTGGCAAAACATTGTATATATAAGTCCACGTTGTGGTATAGCCCCCATATAGCGGTACTTCCCGATATTCGGTACTTTGCTGATTTTTGCCATATTTTCTCACCAATTTGTCTAAAAATTCTTATTTGTGGGTGATAATGGGTTCTAATGTTTCCTTTAACCTAAGGTGGAGGATATTAAAAGTTCGGCCCGGCCGGTTTTTATACCCCACAACACTATGTGTTGGGTGTATTATACGTTTGATTGAACCAAAAATTATGTAACACCTCGAAATATTGGTTTCCCACATAGGAAAGTATATATCTCGCTGAACTGAGTCGATCCAGCTATGTATTTGTAAAAAAGTAAAAAAGACTATTACATTTGTGTTAAACAAAAGTCAAATTTTCCATTAAACCGCGAATATTTTTAGTCCCGGCGAAATCACAAATAAACAAACAGGACAAATCTGACCGTTACATAGATACCTATAGTAAATATATCGGATTTATATGGCGAAATATATACAATGTGTACATACAAAGAAGGGGATGTTAGCTAGAAGCTTATATCTCAAGAATGACTGGGCCGATTTTGATAAATTTTGTCAATTCAGAATGCCCTCTTGGTATAAAAAAATCGCATAAAAAGATATCAATAATGATGTTAACATAGATTTTGCAGTATTTTGTGACATTTTTTTATTTTTTCATATTTTTTATCGCATGCGATTTTTTCAACTCATAATATTGAAGTGTATATTTTGTAATAGTTTTCACCTTACAACACAGGTTGGTGTTATTATATACCGATTGCAATTATCGTCCGATCCTCACAAAAATTTTCACAAGGGTAGGGTTTGGATCAGAAGGGCTAGGTCTAACATGTTTCTGATTTTTCAGCCGTTATAAAGGTCACAAATAGAATCCAAATGACACGAAATCTCACATGAAGTTAGAGTTTAGGACAGCGAGTAGAATCGACCACTACTTTTGTGTGAAAAATGCCAAAATTTCATTCTATCTAAACGCTGAAAATAACTTACAGGCAAAATCCAAAATACACAAATGGCAAACTGCTGGCTTTTTTATACTGATTTCGTTGACGAATATAAACAATATCGCAGACCAGCAAATCATATAGATGAGTGTAAATTTAGAGATTTAGGGGTTCAAAAAACCAAAAATGAAAAAGATTTTCCTGATCACACAATTGAAGCCAATCGACACGACTGAGAAGATAGTTAATGACAGTGCTGGGCAGTGCTCCGTGACATAATTTCAAAAACTAAATCTTTCAAAATGAATTTGGACATAAGGGAGCTTCTAACATATTGTAGTGTTGTAGGGTATCACATGATTGGCCCCGCATGACTATATCCTTTATTACTTGTTTTATGTTGAAAATGGGTCATATCATTCATACTTATAGACGACCAACAAAAACTATTGCCCGAAAACTCCAACCATTATTGAGGTTGCGCTCTACTGACCTAATACACCATTACTCCGATTTCGAATCACTCAATTATGTAAGGGATTTTGTCGCATTATATCATCTCGGGATATTTTACGCACTCGGGAGAATTGACCAAATTATTGTTGATGACAAATGATAAGTTCTCCTTAAATCGGGTCGCATTCATAGGGCCTGGCTTAGGTCGCCTCCGAATTTATTTTTTTTTTTTTTAAATTTTTTTAAAATTTTATATCGAAAAATTAGTTTTTTGGCTGGTGGGACCCTCAAAAGATTTCAAAATGCATTTCTTTTTCAAAAATTCAGATTCTTCATATATTCCTTTGTTGGATACAGTCAATATATCTAAACAATTTGTGTCAAATACTAACCTTTGGTTTTTAAAACAGCTGCCAAAAGAAATACTCCCATAATCATCATTTTCATATTCATGGACATTTTTTGATATCCGGATGGTTCTTGGTAACGGTATTTAGTGTCAAATACACCAAAAACTATATTTCGTTTCTTTTTTTTTTGCAAAAATTTGATTTTAAACTTGTCTAAATTGACAAGTTTTTGTGAGTTATTCGCCTTTGTGTTATTTCAAAACACAACAAATTTTTTTGATTGACACTTTGTTGTTCTAAATGAAATGGAAACTTTTGTTTGTTGTTGTTGTTTTCTTTTCTCAATAAAAACTAATTATTCACGTTCAAAAAATTCGTAATACAACTTAAATGCACTGGATATTTCTCTCTAACAATAAATAAATATTTCAAAAACACAAATGTAAATGCTTGTTTTATTTATTTATTTTTTTTTTGCAAAAAATAAATTGTTTTCTTTTTAATAATTTCTTTTTTTTTTCAAATTTTCTAATTGAAAATCTTTCTGTCGTTTCAAAATTCTTCCCAGAGAAAAAATTGTTCGTTACGATGCAAACGCTATCTAAATTGACGAGCAACTGATTGTAACAGCCAATGTTGTCGACGGAAGAAGCTCAGCCGAAACGGAAAATTGAAAAGCGAACGATGATTGTGTGAGCGGCGATATTTAGTTTTCCCCGATTCGTATGCGTGAGTGTGAGTGTGCGTGTGTGGTGTTTTTTGTTGTTACTGGAGGAGTATAGCAGCACAACACAGTGGGTTGGTAATGACGAAATAATGTAGGTGTATACATCAGTGGAAAATGAGAACTTCTGGGGGTGACTTTAACCCCGATTTAAAAATAAGAGAAAAGGCTGGAAATAAGCCAAAATATGCTATGGGATATAAGAACTTGATATATGGCTGGTGAAATCAGGGTTTTTAAATTGTTAAAACAAATATGGTGACATATATAATGTAACCGAAAAGAGGAATTATTTTCCTTGATGACTTATGGTGAAATTTGATATTTTAGTTTTTGACGTCATCCTTCAAAAGGAATTCTTTTTTTGAGATTTTTAAATAAACCTCTCTGATCCTTAATATGTTTAATATATTTAAAAAATTCTGAAGTTTAGGTAATATTAGGATTTTTGATGTATAACCGGACCTACACCATTTTTATACCCTCAACCATTCTACATATGGAGGGTATATTAACTTTGTCATTCCGTTTGTAACTCCTCGAAATATTCATAATAGACCCTACAAAGTATATATATTCTGGATCAGCGAAAAATTCTAGGATGATCTAGCGTTGTCAGTCAGTCTGTCTGTCCGTCTGTATGTTATAATCACGCCATCTTTCGAACGAAGTGAGATAGAAGGCTAAAAATTTGCACACATGCATAGTTTATCAGTAGGCATATTAAGGTCGTAAATGGGCCATGCCGGTCTACGTTTTCGTATAGCCCCCATATAACGGTACCTCCCTATATTCGGTATTTTGAGGATTTTAGCGACATTATTCACAAAATTTCAAATTTGGTATTTGAAGTTAGAAATGGATATTAAATCCAATGACAGAGAATTGCCTGTGTAGGTCCACGTTTTCTTATAGGCGCCATATAACAGTACCTCCCTATATTCGATAATTTGATGATGTTAGCGACATTATTCACCGGAATTGTTTCAAATTTGGTATTTGAAGTTCGAAATGGATACTACAGCCTAAGACAGAAAATTGTCTGTGCAGGTTCACGTTTTCGTATAGCCCCCATATAACTGTACCTCTCGATATTCGGTATTTTGATGATTTTAGCGACATTACTGACCGGAGTAGTTTCAAATTAAGTATTTAAAGTTCGTAATGGGAACTACAGTTTGTGACAGAAAATTGTCTATGTAGGTCCAGATCTTCGTATAGGCCCTAGTTTTCAGTACCTCCCTATATTTGGTATCTGGACGATTTTAGGTACTATACTTACTGAAATTGTTTGAGATGTCGTATTTGAAGTTCGTAATGGAAGCTACATCCTGTGACAAAATATTGTCTATGCAGGTCCAGGTCTTCGTATAGCTCCGATATAACCGTACCTCCCTATATACGGTATTTTGATGATTTTAGCTAAATTAATCACCGTTTATTTATGACAAACAAAGCCTATGTAGGTCCACGTCGTATAGACCCAAATATAACGGCTGTATTCGGTATTTTTAAGAATTTAAAGGAATTTTTAACGGATTTTTTTTTTGAAAATTCCCAAAGTTGTTCAAAATGGTGGAGGGCATTCAAAGTTCGGACCAGCGGCTTTTTAACTTGTTTTTTTTTTTTTTGAATGACTTATGGCTTGGTACAGCACAAACCGTTTTGCTCCAAACATAAACATTTATCAAATCCTCGAGTTTAAGTAATATTTACATTTCTAATGTTTTGCTGGACCTACAGATCTGTAGAATTTTATGACAAATACATTTGCAGCATATTTTGGCTTGCTACGATCCTGTTTAAAAGGATATTTCAATCATATTTTAAACAAGTAAAACGCAGTAAGTGTGTCCGGATCGAACTTTGAATACCCTCCATCCTTTCGAAAGAATTTGCAACATTTAAAAAAACCTTGAAAAAAAATACTGAAAAGACAGGAGTTACTGTTATATTGGGGCCTATACCAAGATGTTGAGGTGTATATGCAATTTTTGTCATAGGCCATTATGATATAAAAATTCGATATTTGAAGCAATTCAATATGGCTAAAATTATCAAAATACCGAGTTTAGGGAGGTACCGTTACATGGCCATACAGTTTTCTGTCAGAGGCTATAGAAACCATTAGGAACTTCAAATACGAAATTTGTTACAATTCCGCTGAATAATGTCGCTAAGATCATCAAAATACCGAATATTGGGAGATAAAATTATATTGGACCTATATAAAGTCGGACTGGTTCGAAAAGTAAAGAAGCGACTTGATCGAAAACCCTGTCGCAATGGCTGAAAATGGCTCATGATGGTTTTCTCCGATGAGCAAAAACATTCGTTGTCCAGCAGTTTGTAAACAAACAAAATTATCGTGTTTACTTGCCAAAAAGGTCAGCTGAAAATGTGCATCTTCAGTTGTCCACCAGAACTCAACAGCCGATGGCCGCTCTCCGCTCGTATTAATCGACCGTTGCATGAGAATAAATGCCGAATATTATGGGGAAAATATTCTGGAGGGTGCCACCAAAATCTCGGGATACCAATTCGTTGGGCCATTGTGTCTGGAGTATTTTGGAAAGCAAGGTTGGCACTGTGTCGATCACCTCAAGCAAGCGCTTCGCCGGGAATTTGCTGAAATACCGCAGAGCAACATTCGGGCAGCGTGTGAAGGTTCCATTGGCCTTTTGAAGGCCATAATTCGTGCCAAAGGTGACCAATTCAAACAAAACTAAACTTATTCTAAAATTTGATGCAATTACCGACATTTTTCGCTTTCATTCACTAAAATTTGAAAAAAATAAATTAATAAAGTATGGCGTTTATCTTTGTTGTAGTTTTTTATCTCACCCTGTATTTCTTTTGGATTTAGGGGTTGAAATTGACAAAAAAGCAGAAAAATTTTCCGATATTGCTATTGCTCTACAGGCCACAATTATAGACCAATCAACGAAAGTAAGCATAAAGTTAAAGGTTAGGGCTGAGCTAGTAAAAAGCTAGTAAAATAGACCATAACGCTTATATAAGAAATTGTGAATATTTCCATTAAACCGCAAATATTTTATTCCCGGCTAAGCCGAAAACACATGCTCAGGTCACTTCTGACCATTATTGTGATGCTGAGAGGCAAGATATCGGATATATCACAAAATATGTACAATATATATGTAAAAGAAATATATATTAGTTATTTCGCTTATAATTCAAAAACCGCTGGACTGATTTTCGCAATTCTCATCAATTCGGAATGGTCTATTGCCAGAAAAGGAAAAATCGAAGAAAAATTCGTAAAAATGTGCGAATAAAATTGAATATTTGTTGTTAAATTTTTTCAATTTCTGTCATATTTTTTATCGCATGCGAAGTTTTCAATTTGACTTACAATTTTGAATAGCAATTTTTCTAAAGTTTTTCCACACACAGGTCACAATTATTGTGCGATGCTCACGAAATTTTGCATGGGGTTAGTGTCAGAATTAAAGCCTATTTTTCACAATTATTGTGCGATGCTCACGAAATTTCGCATGGGGTTAGGGTCAAAATTAAAGCCTATTTTTTTGAATATGTATACTTAGGGGTTCAAATGGACCAAAAAATTAAAATTTTCCTCTACGGGTCACAATTAAAAACCTATCGACACGGAATTTTGTATGGGGTTAGAGTTAAATACCAGGAAGAAGTCTAGTATTTTTGATAACCATTGGATTATATTTAGCTGTAAAATGAACATCTTTCGTGTGAAATTGTTTTTAATACCTAACAACACGACGGAGTGCGTAAATATTGTGGAAATGCCCTCTGCCAAAAAGCTAAGGGTAACATCTATGCAGGGCTCTTTGACATAATTTTAAAGACGAAATCTTCCAAACTGGATTTGGAGATAAGGGGCCTTTCAACATATTGTGTGTTGTGGGGTATCACATTGTAGGCCCGGCATGACTGCTGCTTTGCTTAGTTATTTAATTAATAAAGATGTAGTCGTTGATTTTACAGTTTTTAGAGCTATCTTTGATAAATATTTCTTAACCGCCACCAGAACTGTACAGGTTTTTTAAAAATATTTTATATTAGCATCATTTTCCATAACATTTTTCCTCGACAATCCCAATGTGCACACCATCAAAATGACGTCGCTGTGCCATTTTAAAATAAAAGTTTCATTTTATTCGTGCCGTATAACGTCATACCCGTCAATCGACTAGCATCGCTCCATTATCCTCCAGCAAGTACAATCATCACGTTACCATAAAACGGGGAAGGGATGATGCGTGTCCTTCTTTGCGAGGGGTGAATGTAATAATTTCTCTCTCCTTTTCCCTTGCACCGCATAGTTACTTTCCGCTTCCTTTTGGTACGCACGACACGAAGACATAACACGACAAGTGTTCCTTTTTTTATTCATTCTCTTGTCTGACGCTACAGGAATTTTGAACACGACAAGGATTTTTGTTGATGTGTTTTTCTTTTACAAAAGTTCGCAGAGTTAGTTGTTCGTTCGTTACTTCAAGGATTTTCACTTGGGAAATTTGGCGCCAATTTGTCGTCTTACTGGGGATGTGTTGTGTATCTATATGTTGCAGCCATTCGGGCGCCACACATTAACAGTGGAAAAGCTTTTCGTTTTTTCCGTTATGGGAGGTAGTGCGGTGGAGAGTTTGTTTTTTCCTGTTAACAGTCAAGTGTTTGAGAGATTTTTTGGTATCTAAAAGCTTTTGATGATGTAAAGGATTGCTGATGAATATATGTTGCGCGATTG